AAGCCATCGAAATTAAAAAACGACCTAACAGCTTAAGCACGCGCGATGACGCTAAAAGCCCATTCCGATCAGACCGTTTCCAAGCTGTATAAAAGTATAAAAACAGCTACACAGTTTAAGACCGGTCGTCACTCGATACTGAGGACTAGACAGATTGAGACCACAGTGTCGTTTGACGGTTCTTGTATCTATACAGAACAATTTACTGGTACGTCGCGAGCGAGGGAAGTAGGCATATTGAGATCCCGAAATTTCGAACGGAACCGTATCCCTCTTGATAAAGGCTCCTAAATGAGTGCCGAAACGTCGTGTTTATATATATATATATATATATATATATATATATATATATAATATATATATATATATATACATATATATATATATATATATATTATATATATATATATATAAAGGAGTACGACCGTCAAACAAATAACAAATATTCAATGAAGTAGGTTTCAAAAGAAAAAATCTTTTGATCACGTGGATATCGGTCAAAGGAGAAATAATACAAGGAAATCACAGTTCCATTCCTATATTTGAAGACGTTTCCCTTGTGGAGTTCACAACCTTCATCAGTTCAATCTAAAAAATATTACCATTGTGGTAGGCAATAATATACAAAAACATGGAAAAAATAACTTACGAATGGTGAGTGAAGTATAAAAATGTGGTAAACAAACACACCATTCCCTTGGTAACTGTGGTCAATACATTAAAATGTTATTTTACATAACAGTTAATGTTTATATATATATATATATATATATATATATATATATATATATATATATACAGGGTGGTGAATCGTCAAACGGGCCATAGGAAACTCAATGGGAAATTCTAAATTGTTGAATTCCTGCTTCCCTAATTATTTTACACCAAAAGTTATGGGAAACTATTTGTAGAGGACTCAAATATGTATTGAAAACAATTGTTAAAATTGTTCTACGACTTAAACGTATTCCAAAATTTTGCTAAAATATAATACATTTTTCAGGCCACCCCTAAGTCAGGCCATACGCCGTGAAAAAATGTGCATTACGTGTTGCATTTTGTCATATTGACGTTTCTAATATTTGACAATATTTAAATCAACTATATTATATTTATTTTTTTTACAACTTTTTTTAATTGGTTAAAAAATGACAGTTTTTCGAATTTAAAAAAATAATTTTTTCCGAGCCATAGCAAAAAATTATTTAAATAGTTTATAAGCCAAAAATTGCAATATTTTTGCAATCAAGTTTTGCGATATGGAAATGTATTTTTTCGCTTCTTTAAATTCTTCTGAAAGAATAACTTTTCTTCTTGCTTGTGCTACCCATAGAACTATTATAAATACATATTTTCTGACTTTCAGTCAGCTTTCTGGGAGATTGTTTAAAATGTTGTACTTTTTACTGGTAGACAAATTACATAAAAGGGTTCATTTTTGGCTCAAATAATAATTTAAGAAAATCCACCGAACTCACTGCAGGAAATTGGGGGTGGATCAACGTTATTATTGTCCTAACAGGCATCCGCGGCTTTCCCATTTTTTCCTTTTTTCCCTTTAGCGTTTATGTCTGTAGCGGTGTCCTTTCTAGGATCTTTCCTTTTTATTATTCTAGTTACTGTCCCCAGGATTTCTTTGAATTCATTTTCTCCTCTTCTCTACACTTCTGTGTCGTTAACCCCGCAGTCAACGCAGTTACTGTCTTCTTCCTTCCCAATTTTTACCGAATAGCCTTTGAAACAGCCATGCTCGTGAGGAACTGTGTAAAGAAGTAGTTAGTCTCCCTATGACCATGTCCTACTTGCTGTTTCATGTCCGGTATGAGTGTTCTTTTCCATTAAACCTTATGTTCGTTTTCCCACTCTTCTTGCCATTTTGCGTTGGTCACCTATCTTGAAACGCTCAATACTCCAGGAGTATTGGGTTTTTGGAAGTGTAGAACTTCCAAATTTCAGAAGAACTGAAAGAGAAGTGATGAAAAAAAATACTAAAAATAGGGCTAAGCTCAGAGGAACAAATTTAAATGGCCAAAGAGACACTAAATCTCAAGAGAGTGTTCGGGCTAGCTTCAATGCACTGGATTGTGGCTTTAAAGACATAAACAACAATAACAAGAGATAATGAGCTAATGAGACAAGAAAGAAATGAGACCTGGTAATATCAAACGTGATACAACTGAAGAAGGTCACTGGGAATAAATTTATAGAAAGAGAACAATAAGAAGAGAAAAGAAGGGCGCCAACTCAACGATAGTTGAGATTTTGAAGTAACAAATAAATCTGGAGATAATACTCTGAAATCCAAAAATACTAAATAATAATCTTGTTTTGCTATGTTATATACTGGTTAGTAGAACTGAAATAAAACTCAAAATAGCAACAATAAATATATTTATAAAAAATGTATATAGGTATATGTGTATAAACAATTTACATATAATGCAAAGCCAAATAACAGTGGTAGTGGATGGTGTACAGATACAATAGGACCTAATAGCCCCTCAACAAATGAATAGTCACTACCACTGGCCAAATAAAATATGAAATATTAGTATACAACAAGAATAGTCCGTATTGTAGCCAAAGTCTTAACACAAAAAGGTAGTAATTTAAATTTAGCTAGTTCAACTAAAATGAGAAATAATTACCGTATTGTACAGATATCAACAATGATAACTCTGTTACAATTATTATATTATATCCAAAAAATGAGTCTTCAATACTCTTTATATAATGTTTAAAAAAAAAAAACATGAAATTTATTTCCTTTCCCAAAATCAAATTGTATTATATCAAAAAAAAATATATCAAAAAAATGAGTTTGGTCAAACCCTTTACATCCTTAGTAAAAAAAAACCTAATAAAAACATGAAATGTCCTTTTTCCCGCCCCAAATATTTTATAATTAAATTATCAAAAAAAAAAAATGTTCACCTTGTCATATGCATATGAAGAGGGTATACTACTAAATAGGAAGTAACAAAAGTTAAACAATTAAATAGATAGTAACAAAAAAAATTACACAGTCAAACAACTTATCTTTACAGCCCCATAAGTCCATAGGAAAATTCCTCTTGGCACGGCTAAATCAGTTTATGGCTGTAAAGACGAATCCTGGGCACAAAGCCACAACCAGTCACTGGTCTCTGGGTGACAGCAAAATCCACGGGTTACATACACAAGTTGCTAACTATGTATCTAAGGATTCTGTTACTAGTATCCTTGAGGGAATATTCTCAAGAGAATACTCTCAAGTGAAGTGACGGAATATGGAGCTGCAGCACCCCAAAAAAATCTTCCTTTTATGTGGAACTCTTAGATGAATATTGATTTTATTATACAAATTACTTATTTATATTATTATTAATGAATTATATTCTTCCCCAAATTATCTTCCTTGCTCCAATTCCGTCACTTTGAAGGTGAACAATTTCACCGGTTGACGTGGCTGCGTATGAGTTCTGACCAAAACTCATCGTTCCGCTTCCGCATAAAATCGATCTTCCTTTCAAAGCGATAACAGCGCGTGAGTGTAGAAATGTCGATTTAAAATCGATCGTAGGCGGGTAATAAGAAAATTCTTAAGGGGTTAATCAGTAGCGTAAACGCTACAATCTCTCGTCTGCCTTATCATTTTCACTCATGTTATACGTGATTGATCTTTCCCTTACTAGTAGGTGAATTTGTGGCATCCTTGCTATTACTTGTAAGACAACTATCAAAGTTGTCTTATATGCACACCAGAGCCTAACAGAGCCTTTTTGAGCTTTTTCTAGAAATCTCCTATACTTTTCTCTACTCATTACCGCTGCTATACTAGTGTTACGTACAGTATGGTAGAGTGAACCACTTTCATAAGAATTCTTCTTCTACATGTCCCTAGACCTTGTACGTTTTGCATGATCTCTGTTGTTTGTTGATCGGCTTTAATCATGGCATATATTACGTATTCACCGAAGCTCTGTTTGGTGTCCAGCATTACGCCCAGATATTTACTTTTTGACGGGTACGATACTTTCTCCTACCAAGGAAAAAGAGATGTGCTCTCTCACTCTGGAGTGGCTAGCGTCAGTTGTCTCTCCTCTAACCACATTGCAACTGGTTCAAGGCTGTGTTTGGCCTATCCATAATGAGCCAATTCTTGAAATGCTCCACTAGATGACCAGATAGTCTGCTTAGGCAATTGCCTGTATTCTCTCTCCTAGATTTATCTCTACTATGTCATTATAGGATACTTTCCAAAACAGCAGTCGTAGAACCGAACCCTGTGGCATTTTCGCAGATGTCCTCGTTGTGTCGTCTTTAGTTGTATGAATGCTTTTGTCTGTGAAATACTCCTTCACCAAGTGCAGCTATGGGAATATTTATATTTCTTCTAATAATCTGATTATTTTTCCTCAGCTAGCGTTTTTAAATAAGTTCTTGATTTCCAGGAAGAATGCCTTCATTCATCTACCCCTGCATGCTTTTTCCCCTTACTACTCACTTACTATCATTTACCTTTCTGTTTATGGCGTCTATGGCAGATCTGCCTTTTCTGAACCCATTCTGGCGGCCCGACAGGCTTCTCTTTTCTTCTATTTCTCTTACGAGCCTTAACTTAATGAGGATTTCGAATAGCTTGCCTAGTGTATTTTGAAAACATATTGATCTGAAAGCACCCAGTTCTTCCATTCCTTTCCCAGGTTTAGTGATGAAGGTGAAGTTTGTCGTTTTCCATACCGTGGCGAATTTCTATCTTCTAAAATCCATTATGTTTTTAGCCCATTCAGCCGTTTCTTCAACAATTGTCTTTATTATTTCCGCTGCAATTCTGTTAGATACGAGTGCCTTCCCTATTATTGTTGCCGTTGTGGGTATTATTTGGAAGGTTTTATTTACCTTAATTATATACAAAAATTATAATAAAACTTCCAACCGACGTACTCGTATACACTTCCTGATTAAAATGTTATTTATTGACATGTATGTCATGGATATAGAAATGAAATGTCAGTGAAGTCGTGGTGATGTGATGTCATTATTATAAATAAAACAGTAAAAGTGCATACCACAGTCGACACTACCAAACTTGCATATTTATAATTTTATCGATACGAATAAGAGAAAATTTTATTACTTGTCAGCTGTAATTTTGGAGTATATTTTAAATAGGTGTCTAAAATGCACAAGAAACAAGCATCGTCTGATTTTGAAATCGCTCCCTTACGATCTTTAGATGATTTTCTTTTAGAAGCCGCTCGTTTTCAGATTCCAAATGTGAAGGATTTAGAAAAATGGGGCAATAGGGTCACTCAAAATTTACTCTACTATCAAACCAACTACTTTTTGATGTCCATACTAATCTTCATTATAGTGGGGTAAGTAATTCTTAAAATTTATTTGTGGATCAACTAATAGGTGATAAGTCAGTAAAATTTGGTTGCAGAGGGTAAAATCCCTTAATTACAATTTATGTGCAAGTCTATAAAATTATCACTTGTGTTTTATTGGACTACAGCTTAGCTATCTTGTTTTGGTTTATAATTTAGAAATTAATGCCTGTCATTTCACTTTTCAATTTTTACTAACTAATCCCTCTTGACTTGATGGACCTAAAAACATGCATTATTTTAATTTCGTAGGAAATTAGGCGACAGGGTAGGATTTGCATGTGCTAATAATAAGGGATATTTCCAATGAACATGACATATTATGTTTCTCTATTCTTAAACATTCCAGTTAGTCATCGCAATATTATTTTATCTCACATTAAAGATGTAATAAAAATTTATGACCTCCCGTTTTCACTGCTGATTTGCTGTGTAAAAATGTAAAATATTTACATTGCACTAATTTGGCTTATAAATAAACCTTTTAAGAACTGAAAAAAATATAGAGGACAAATAAATAAAAAAATCAATGTATGATACAAAAATAATAGGATTTTGGTGTTAAATTCAGCAAAATATGTTTATATGAGACGATCACTGTAAAATGTTAAAAACTACTTGAAACGCACTGAACATAAATAGTACCTCACTATAAAATATTAAAAATGATTGCAAAAAAAAATATTATAGCTATTGCACTAACACAAAAACTAGTTTGTCTCTGTCTCGCTACGATAATGCACTGAAGAAAACTGCATGTTTTAGCAATTCCTGATATCATTGTTTCATTTGTAGATAAAAGTAACTAAATAATTACATCAGGTCCACAACATTATGAATTATCTTTACCACCATGTAAAAACTTTTAAAAATGTAATTAAGAGAACAACTGCAGCCCTAGGATCAATTGTCATATTCCACAATATTCTGTATAACTTAAAAACTGTCAGTATAATTTAAAATACTGTATTGTTTAAATAAATATTTGTTCAATAACTCTGTGGTCACAGAATTAAAGTTCCTAACTCAGAGATCATTGTATCGAGAAATGTGTAGTTAATATTTAGTTAATTTTCCAGAATCATATCTTAAAAATCATTAAATTAATGATTTTTTATGCATAAATAATTATGCCCCAACTAATTGTATGACATTTTATAAATTATTGCCATCTCAATACATGCATTATGATAAAATGTTGTATATGTAGTCGTTATTTATAAATATATATTAAAAATAAATATTAAATATATATATATATATATATATACAGTAACATATATATATATATATATATATATATATATATATATATATATATATAATATATATATATATATATATATATTATATATATATATATATATATATATAGTAAGTGTTAAATGAAATAATACAATCTAACCATTTTGTACATGGGATATTAAGGGAAAAATCCTTAAAAAATAATTGTACCCTAACCAGGGATATTTAGGTTTTTATAGTAGTCAGTGAACACTGAATTTATTACGTCTAAAATGCTGATTTTCTCCTTTCTTATTGGTAAAGACTATGTGTACTAAATAAAAAGGCTTATTTAATTCTAGAGACATTTTGTGCAACAGGATGCACATATTTTTTTTCTTTTACAAAACACATCTATTGTATATCATGCCACACAAATTTATTAGTCTTATCATCTTTGGCTGTTAAGTGCAATTCTTTGGCATATAATTATTTCAAGTCTAGGAAATCTGGTCGGCCCATATCTACCACAATATATTGTGGTCCCATTTATCAAATTAACTGAGATCAGTCACTTGGATGATGAAAATCCATGAATGTCTTATTTTTATGCTTTTCTATTTGCATGTACTGTATTGCACTCCATATGTGAATGTTTACTTATCATAAATTTGTAATCAATATACAACAAAGTAGAAGAGTTTTGTAATGCTGAAATGTTTTGTAATAAATAGCATCTATACTTGAGTTTCTGTTTTGACCTGTACATTTGTAGGAATATATGATCAAATGAGTTACATCGGGTGAAAGTTGTGAAATATATTTATGTAAGCATGAATCAGTCTGGTTACCACTTCGTCCTGTGATTGTCTCATTCCACAGAAAATTCCAAACTAGTCCTGTGCCACTTTCTCTAAATGACTCTAAATTATATACAGCCCATTTATGTTTATAAAATATTATGGATGAATGTATATAATAAAAAGCTTATAAGAATTCAGAATCCAATTTAATTTGAATGTATTGCATGTGTTGCATGTAACGTTATGGGGCACCTTAAAACTTAAATTAATTTCTTGAGAAATATGTCTCAGATCTTGGAAACTAATTTATATTATTGAAGATTTTATCTTTTCTCCTCTGCGTAGTTTTTGTTACTGGATGTCTACCTCAATTGTCAATAGTTATATTTGTTCAACCTCAATGCTTGAGCATTTTATTGAATTGCACTTATAATTTTTAAATAATAAATTAAACCCTTCTGTGATATCAAAAGTTTTCATAAAACATACTTTATATATTTTACAGAATTTTCCATCAATTTCAATTTTTAAGTTATTATTGCCTTAAACTTTGAAGTACTCAACCCAACTATATAGACTGCTCAACAATTGTTGAGTGACTTCCTAAAGACCAAAATCTCAAAGCTAGTATGTACTACAATTCAATTTACATGGTAATAAATTGTGACAAAATGTATCCTTTACTTCTTTACCACTATCTGTAACATAATTAACCAGTTTAGAAGGGTTGTTTTTCTAACATTACTTAATGGTTTAGAAGGGTTGTTTTTACTCCACTACCAGCTTCTCATGTCTCAATTTGAGGCACTAGTGTTTAGTGATGTGGTAAGTCTATCAATTTTCTCCTGTCCTGCAACACTGTTATCCAAATTGTCAATTGAAATGTCTAAATTTAATTGGTCTAAATCTGGAATGTAATCTCAGCATTATGGAAAGGATCATTAAACTGTTACAGTTTATTTTGAAAAAAATATGGAGAGGTATTAAAATAAAACATGAAAAAACAATTTCAATGTCATAAAATATCTTTGCCAAACTCAGTTACTATTTATCAGTTACTCAGTTATCTTTTGAGACAATCTGTGTATCCGTGTGTCACATCTACTGGTTTCTGCTTTATTTTCAGCTGATGTACATGTTGTTGCCTGGTTTTTATCTGATCAATAAAACAAAAAAAAGTCAAAATAAATTCCATTTTTTTAGTATTAAATTAAAAATAATTTGCACATTAAGAAGATTGTAATTTTGGTACACTAATAAAATAATATAACCTTACTAGCATTTTATATAGTAATAAGTATCTGTAATACTTACAGCTATAATGTGTACATAAGCCTAGTGGGGCTAGTTTTTTTTTATTATTGAAAAACTATCCATTTCGTTAACAAATTTAGATAAAATACAAACTCTAGACAAACTTCTAAATAGAATATGTGTCACTATTTATGACAATAAATTGTTGTAATAATGATACAATGTTACCAGCAATTTTTATCACTGGGTGCTTCCTAAACTGACATACGAACTTTTGCTCAGGATTTCATAAGGGAATAAGTTCTTATATCACTGATGTTATTTGATCCAAATACAAACTCTAGACAAACTTTTAAACAGAACATGTGTCACTTTATGCCAATAAATTGTTATGTGATACTGATACAACATTGCCAGCAATTTTTATCAATGCATATAGCTTCTTAAACTGGCTTAGGAACTGTTGCTTTGGATTTCATAAGAGAATAAGTTCTTATAGAATAAATTCTTATTTCATTGATGTTATTTGACCCAAACATGAAAAGAAAGATTTGACTTACATAATTATTTGCTACAATTATTTTATTTGCAATCAGGTTCTTTTTGTCCATAAATGTTGATAGTCATCTATCTTATCCTGTCCCCTTATCCTAAAATGGCCAACTTGACTTAAGAAGTTTTACCCTGTGACCACAGAACTATCTACAGTTGTTACTTGAGATGGGGTCATAAAGAAATATATTGTTTTTTTAGGGTTATACATCCCATTAAAATGGCTTGTGGATTATTAGCAACTGCTGTACTTTTTATGATATTCTTATATGTTACCAATGAGAAAGTAACAGCAGCTCAATTCAAAAGGAAACACCCAATTATTTCTATCATTATTGTTTTTGCTGGAGCCTATTTTATAGCATATATGCTTCAGTCTCTTCTGGTTTTCCTTCTTGGGGTTCTTCTACCGGTTGCAGGTAATATAATAATTTGAATTTTATGAAAAACTACTTAACATTAAATTTCTAAGATGTTATCAAGCTATAGAGATACCAGAAAAATGTCTGGCATAAATTAAATATTTTTTAATTTTTCAGCAATATTTGTCCATTCTTCTTTGAGATTGAGAAACTTAAAAAACAAGATTGTTAACAAAGTAGAAAATTTGGGACTTCGGACAACACCTATGGGGTTTTTTCTTGAAGAGATGGGATTGGAAAGTGATCTTTTCTGAGAAAAGGTGTAAAGATTCAAGTTATCCTATTTGTGATGGTTTCATGTGATTCTTCAGAAGTGCACTAGACAGTTTTATGTCAGTATAAAAGATTACTAATATCTTAAAATGGGCTATTAATTTTGGGAAATCATACAAAGAGAATGGATCTTTGGACCTTTCCAAACCTACTCTATAATTTCAGTTTTAGTCCTAAATTTACAAGCATGCAAATAATGACTTCTATACACATATACTATTATTAAACCTTTCATTTAAATAATATTTTAATGCAAAGTAGGTTATTTTAAGTTTTTAGAGATACATATTTTGAGATTAGGTTGCAGTATTATCAATATTGTTCCAATTAAAATTTTGAAATTTAGGTAATTTTTAACATAAATACAAACCATATTAAAAAACCCAATTATGGTATTCCACCTGAAAGTATTAATATAGGATAAACGAAAGATATTGAATTTCTGATTTTATTTTGACTGTATCTAATGTCCACATCAGCTGACTTTAAAATGTACTCACGATTAAATGAACGTTTTTATTCTCAATATCTGAAAATTATTCTATAGTTGCATAAGCTCAAAAAATATGTTATGGCTTTTTAGCTAAGTCAGATATTTGTTTGGAAATGTCCACATTCTCTTGCATGAGGTGAGATTTTAATAATTGATTATGTTAAAGTAACAAATTTTAACAATATTAGTGTTGTTATTATTTTACACCAACTTAAGTCTGACTTTATTTAAATACACTTGTGATAACTAACCTATCACTAACAAATAGCTTACGAAAAAGTTAAATAATTACTTTTTGGGTAATCATCTGCTTTTAGAACATATAAATGCAGTAGTTCCAAAATTATTGAAACGTCAATGATATATTGTCTAAATGTATGCTTAATGATCATACTTCCTTGTTTATTATGAAAATAATAGAGATACTTCAGTTATATTTAAAGAATGATTTTCTATCTAATGATTGTAGCAATATTTGCAGCTTATCTCTTGAAATTTAAAATTAAAATACTTCCAAGAAACTTCAAGTATATTTTCAAAGAATTTTATTGTAATCTGAATCGATTCCTTTCAATTATTTGAATTACACAGAATGGTGGACAATAATGGTGTACCTATATTCTGTTATTTTTACCTCATTCTTTTTTATTTCACTGTTTTATACTCCTCCTTCAGAATGCCTTTCTTCAGTTTTTTAATGTTCCTAATTTACCTTCCCTGTGTTTTTCTCTAATTATCTTGGTTTAAAATGCCTTAGATGTCACATGATATATTCAGTAAATTGATGTCTCGGTAATTTATATATAAACTGTCTCCTCTGTTATCTGTATTTATTAAACTTGTTGACTCATATAAATAAAATTCAATCATGTCAAAATGAATAAAGATATCATAGTTTATTTATTTATTAATACGATTGTTTATGAGAATTACATTAAACAATGCATTTTCATTAAAACCAATATTTTACCAAAGCTTTAGTGCATTTCTATGTTTTCTGTTAATGTTAGTGTACATATAGTCGACATTTATGTGTCATGTATTTGGTGGGCAGTATCGTCCTAAGTATGTAAGCAAATGATGTGATTAAACTAGCATATAATCAACAAAGATACATATTTATGAAAGTTGACTTTTTTTCCACTCAGTAAATTCCTAGAATTGTAAATATATAAACAAGCAATTTAACGACAATATCTGATAGTTGTAAAAGCAGGTTGTTAAATCTGTTGAAACTATATGCTAGGTATTTAGTAATATCCAAGTGAAGATATAAGAAATAGTATAAACCAGAGGTGGAGAACTTATTACCGTTTGTAAAAAATCATAAAATTGTGTACAATGTTGAGCATTGTATAAAATTCACATCGAGTTAGAATCTAATGAAAATTCACAACAGTACTGCAATGAACTGATAATTCTTATTATTTTTTTAATGATATAAAATAATCCACAGCAAGAATTCTTTAAAATACTAGTATAATTTAAATTTAAATTTTTTAAAATTGGTTGAGGAAATATTCCTTAAACAAGCAATTGGACTTCGTAGGTTCACCCAACGTGACCAGAAGTCGATATTTGAACTCTTCGTGTAAATTTTGCATTGATTGATTACGATTTCAATTATTTTTTAGGGCAATTTTTGCCAAACTTTGTCATAACTTTTTAACCGGAAATGACATCAAAAACAGAACTAAATATTAGAGCTTGACTTTTTGAAGTGATATAAAAACCAAAACGGCTTGATGAAGCTTACAAAGAAGTGAAAAACTTCTAGTGTAAATGGTATATATTTAAAATTTAATAAAAAATAAAATTTTCCAAATGGATTTCAATTTATCAGAATGTTTTCGGTCTTATCAAACCATCATCAGTTAACACCTAAATTAAAAAATGGTTAAATGTTGACTGTTAATCTGAAAAAACATGTGGTTAGTTAGTAATTGAAATTAACTAGTTAAAAAGTTGTAATGACCTTTTGATTACATTTTGAATGTCTTGAAAATTAAAATTGAAGCGACACGAAGTCGATGTTAAAAATTTAACTTTAAGGAAACATACCTACTCGAAACAAGGACTACATGTGTTCTTAAGAAAGATACCAGCCAGGTGAAGTGTTGGATCAGGAAGTGAATTATGGGTTATGGATTGTACCAAATATAAAAAAAGTGATTATCTTTAAATTAAAATGAACTAGAAAGTTACTTCTCTAGAAAAGTAGCAAAGAAGAAATCCACAGTTATATAAACAAATTAATGGTTAAGATTAGATTATACATGGGAGTAATGACGTCATGTTGTCAGATAAATTAAAATAATACAAATATATAAGCAAATTAGTTTGGAACATACAAACTAAACTATAAACTTATTGAATTATTGAGAAATAAATAAATTTGTGCAAAAAGATTGTTCGGTTATTGTGTATGTGTTGTATGGTTGGTTGAATTTCCTATTTGTGTGTAAAATGTATATACCCACCCACGAGTAAACACACCACACATATGCACCTTTTTAATAAATGTATACAAGTGTTCGAATATTTGGATGGTATCGATATCATCGTAGAGTTCCTGAATCTTTTTGGTCGTTAAGGTTGCATTAATAATGTAAAACCCCTAAGTGACTTATCGACCACTTACGTAGCCGGGACCGATAGATTTACGCTCACTTCGAAGCACGGCGGCGACTCAGTTAAATTAGCAATTGACAAATTGTATTGGTGTCAGTGCCGAAAAATCAAGCTTCCAGCAAGTCCGTAACTTAGTCGCTGAGCTACGGCCGCCACAAGGGTGCACTGAAAATTTTATTAAAAATAAATGAATAAAAAATAAACTAATAATTGACATAAATGGTCCAAAAAGGACCAGTTGGATGATGAACCAGAAGAAGACGAAACGTAGGTACATAGACATCTTAAAGGATGACATACAATTTGTAAAGAAAATATAGTGTCTAATTTTGCGATCGATTGGGTATGATTATGATAAATTATATGATTGAAGTATTTTATAAAAAAATATTATCTATTAAAAAAAATATCTATTGAAGTGGCAGTTATACCCATGAAAGTACAAACAATTTTTAATTACCACTACATTTACTTGTCACTGGTTTTCCATCTCTGTTGTAAACAATAGGAAATGTAATGATTTATATACCTCTTCTTCCCCATCTAATCTCTTTAAGCCGAATATTATTGGGTATCTTTTATGTATAGTATATTTACAATTGCAAACACAGATAGGCTCAATTATTCCAAGTAAATATTATATTCTAGAACTGTTTATTCAACTAATATTAAACATGTGTAATTTTAATAGTGTAGAAATTATTTTTCATTTGTGGAAAAATATAGCAAAGTTGGAATATTCGTGTCTTTGCAAAACATACTCAAAATTCAGATATTTATATCTAAAAGAGAAACATAACAATTACAAGAAGATTATCCAAATTAAATCTTTTTTTGTGCACTGTAACCTTATGCATATTCAAAACTTCTAGTTCCTTTAATATGCTAAAAAATAACTCACGCTTCAAAGAAAGACGAAGAAAGTTTGGAAATTTTCGAAAAAAAGACTTCCAATGAGAAATGCAGATATTAGGTTTAAACGAATAATACAAAATGACGCGGAAAAAAAGGAAACTAGATATATCAACACGGAAAGATAATACTAACGAACACTACTAAAAGTTTACTGGTACAAATTCACAATTTCGTTAATTATAAAAACCGCTCCTCTACAACTTGAGTTCATTCCTTAGGTAGGATCTTCACTACGAAGATGGGTTTTTTAAACCCCAGGTTGAGTGGTTTCAGTATTACCCATTCAACTCACATAATTAGAGATATTAGGATTTAAATCTGTATCTTAGGTTCTTTTAAATGTGTCAGTAGTTTTAATCAGAAAATTGTAAGTATATTGCCAACTTTGCTATATATGTTCTTAGATACACTTTTAATTAAATATTTGTTCACTATAATGTTTTATATATACAACTTAAATGATAATCTTATATATTTATTATTTTACTCTGTCTATACTTTTTGTATTAATATTTTATAAAGTATTTACTTTGTTTTGTTATATTTTAGAACAAATTATATTGCCGCTCATATATTGTATAGAATTTCATATGGAATTAAAAATATATGATATATTTTATATATTTTTTTAATATCCTTTTACTCCAATTTAACTTATATTAATTTATAAATGAAGTTTTGATGATAATATCACTAATGAATGAAACGCAGTCCAAAAAAGTATGAACGATATATTTAAAAAGTCAGAAAATGCACATATCTACTAAAAAAATAATTTTGAACTCCGGGAATCGTTGACAGAAGTGAAAACCTTTATAGGCAGGCCTGAAAAACATCTTTTATATTAAGAAAAATATTTAATTTTACTGAAGTATCAAAATATATTTAAAATAGTTGTACGTATGTGATTTCTTGAACGAGACTGACTGAATACTTTTGGAAAAGTTAAAATAATATGGACAATGTGGAAAAAGTCTTCTTATGGGAGAATAAAAATAGTAAAGAAGGGTTTCTAAATCAAAAATAGAAATTATTAAAGATAGGGAAGGCTATTTGATCAGTAGAAGAAAAGAGTTGGTGCAAAGAAGGATAAAATATTTTTAAGAACTCTTTAATTAATACGAGGAGAATGATTTCAAAGTAATTAGTAGGAACATATAGGTGAACAGCATGTAAAAAGTGATGATGAAGAGTAGAGATCAGTTATGTAGATGAACGAAAAACAATTTAAGAACAAGGAGTATGACAAAGAAAAAATAAGAATGAAGTTGCTAGAGGTATGGATAACCTGACTTACTCTTGGTAAGGTACCGCGCATTTTTATATAGGGTTGCGCTGTCATTATTACGCGGCCAGAATTAAATTGTCCTATTTTTAGCAATACTGCAAAGCATTTCGTAGTTATTAACTTCTCTATTGGCGAATGTTACGCAGCCTTTTTTATGAGAAGAAGGTGGTAAAGACCGTACGAGGCCGTGTACCGTTAAGGATGGCGCGGCATGTGTTGTGTTTAATTCAGGGTGGAAGGGTCTATCCGCACGCTCACAGTGTACGATTTGACTAATCTAGGTGGACAATAGGTATTTAAATTTTATTGTTAAAACTACGTTTAATCACTTCCATTTCACTTTTAAATACATACTTTAACTGATGGTACAAAACAAAGGCCCCCATATTGCAGATCTTTTAGAAACAATGGCCGAAACTACCTGCACCTTTTTCAGGTAGACGGTCGGCCGCTCAGTATGACCGTTAACGCTAACTTGTGTACACGTGTCTTGGTTTTCAGTGCAATTGTAAGTGCTTTTTTATGATGGATTCGACATCTACAGGTAATTATGCATTTACTTAATGAACCACATATAAACAAATATGCATTTGAAAATATATAATACCCAATACAAAATAGGTCATCAATTTTTTTATTTATTTGTCATACGTAACATTCATTTAGATATATATTATGTTGTCAAGTGTAGTAAAGCTGTATGTATGATCTTAAAGTACTCTCTATTTAGTACACTTTCATAATATAATTACTATTTTTTGCGATTTTTAACATATTTAGTAAATAAAATATAAACAGATATGTATTTGTAAATACTATACTTAATACTCAATACAAAATAGGTCATCAAAATTGTTTATTCCTTTACCATACGTATCTTTCATTTAGATATGCTATGTTGTCAAGTGTAGTAAAGCTGTATGTACTTATTGTCTTAAACTACTTTCTATTTCGTACACGTTCACGGGCGCCCATATTAAAAATTTAAGAGGGGGCTACACGTAAAGATGTTCTTCTTCTTCTACGGCACTAATGTGCCTGTGGTGACTAATGGGTGGATTGAATAGCTCAGGAGTCACCATTGCCGGTCCTAAGCCCGGGTAAAGGAGGAAGGTTGGGCAGTGGGATAACAACCCACTCCCGGAAAAACACACTGTTATGAAACCTAAACGTAAAGATGTTGCACATTATATTTTGTAAACTTTGGATAACCATATATAGTTTAAAGCATCCGAAAAGCTAGAAGGGGGCCATGGTCTCCCCTGCTCATAGGTATGGGCGCCTAGGTACACTTTCATAATACATTGTATAATTAATATTTCTTGCGTTTTTTAACATATTTTATGTTTGTGTTTACAGGTGCCCAAATGAAGCGGAAATTATTATTTCAATTTTGGCTTCTATATCGGCTAATGGTCGATTAAATGCAGTAATCAACTTTGTGAAGATGAGTTTTGATGATCTGGATATTGATCAAGAACAAGAGAAGCAGTTAAAGGTGTTCTTAAAAAATGAATGCGAAAAAATTCGAGTCAGATGGGTTCAGAAGCAAAGACGACTGGACTTGTTTTTAAGTGAATACGAACAATGGTTAAATAATGATTTAACTTTCGATATGCTGATATTAGCAAATCAATCTCCAAAACCAAGTACTAGTGGTGGTAGACCTCAATAAACTTTTATGGATAGCTCCAAAAAGACAAAAAAGAGGAAAATTCAACATCTACTTAGCGACTACAGTAAAGAACAATTATCGTTTGCTGCACAATTAAGTGTCCGAGCGAGTGGCAAACGTAATGCTGCTATGTTGATGGAAGAAGTATCGTCAGCCTCACCAAAACGTGCTTCTACATATAAGAAAGCAAGAAAAAATTTAGATGTCCAAATGAAACAAAGATCCTATACACCTGAAGAAGCTTTGGCTTTTTTTATAGCAAATAATTTTACTGTCCAATCTTACAAGAATGTACAACAAGAGGCAAAAGAAAGAGGTTTTAATGCGTATCCATGTTATGATTACGTAGCAAAGGTAAAAGAGCAGTGTTATCATCCAGTTTAAAATATTACAGTGACTGATATATCGGCGGAAGTAAGACTGGATGCTCTACTTAATCATGCACAGAGAATATGCACAGAGATGCACAGAGAATATGCAAGAGCATTCTAGGAGAAAGGTTAGACACTAACATGCAAAATTATTCTTTAATATATAAGTGGGGGTGTGATGGTTCATCAGAACATAGTTTATATGAGCAACCGTTTGAGGATCCAGAGAGCACAGATGAGTATATGTTTATAATCTCATTAGTTCCAATAAAACTCGTAAACAATCAACAAGAGACCATATGGCAAAATCCTCGGCCATCATCACCAAGATTCTGTAGAGTACTCAAATTTATTTATAAGAAAGAAAGCGAAGCACTGATAAAAGATGAATGTAGAGCGATTGAAAGTCAAATTCAAGAATTAGTTCCAACTCTTATAGAAGTCCGAGGCGTTACCATCTCGGTCACGCATCAAATGATTCTGACAATGATTGATGGTAAAGTGTGTAATGTGCTAAGTGATAATAGATCAACTCAAAGGTGTTTTATCTGTAAGGCAACATCTAAAGAAATGAATACAGCATTAATAACTAAAGAGCCAGACGATAATATGTACCAGTTTGGAATATCTAGCTTACATGCTTACATTCGTACGATGGAATGCCTTTTAAATATTAGTTATCGTCAAGATTTTTGTGAGTGGCAAGTAAGAGAAGGCAATAAAAAAGAAATGTTTAAAACAAGGAAAGACGAAATCAAGAAAAAATTTAAAGAAGTGGGTCTCATTATCGACAAAGTAAAACCAGGGTTTGGTACCAGTAACGATGGGAATACCGCAAGAGCATTTTTTTATAATTATACGACCACAGCACGCATCATCAACCTTAATGAAGGGCTCATTTACAATTTTGGGACGATTCTTGCAGCTGTTGCGTCTGGTTATGAGATTGACTCTGTTAAATTTCAGAACTACTGTATAAAGACTAGGGAACTATATTTAAGTTTGTACCCATGGTATAACATGCCTGTGACTGTTCACAAAATATTGGTACATGGAGCAGATATAATCAAAAATTCACTAATACCGGTAGGGCAAATGTCTGAAGAAGCATCCGAGGCTAAAAATAAAGAAATAAGAAAAGTCAGACTGGGACATTCAATGAAAATTTCAAGAGAGCGAAGCAATTATGACTTAAATATTTATTAATATCATCTGATCCATATATATCGTTGTTGCGAAAACTTCCACTAAAACAATTTTCTAGACATGATAGAGATATAAAATTTATATTAAAACAATAAAAACTATTTAAAATTTGGTAATGCCATTTATTTACCACAATTAACAACTATGATTTTATCATAAAATATAATTTAGAATCACTTAAGAGAGTTTCAGAGTTTTGTCCACCTAGATTAGTCAAATCGTATACTGTGCGCTGTCCTCCCAGAGGAGTCATGCTCACATGTTCGTCCATAGCTCCCTGCCTACCGACAAGTCCACCCCCTCAACCGGACTACTCATGCGGTAGGTCCTGTCCAGACCGGTTTTTTCTCTTATTGTATTTGCGCTTACCCTATCTACCTTCCTGGGTAATTCGTTTCTGACGTCATTGAATATTCTGCACGAACACACAGTGCTCGTCCGTATCAGACACTCCACATTCTGCTCAGTTTCCGTCCGTTAATTAGTGTCTCTGTCGCCGCATTTCATCCAGTCTACAATATTTAAGATTGATACCCTCGTCCAGGCCGCCCTATGCTTATTTGTCCTTCCTGCCACTCCGATATTTCTAGCTACTATCTTCTCCTGTTCATTCTTCCCGTAGGTTTCCGTCCTTTCCTTCTTCATCAGGTGGATGTGTGATTTTTCAGCTAGTACTATTAAAAGCATTTCTTATATCAAGAAAGAAAGCCACCATCCATCTGCTTCTACATATGGATATCTCCCTCTCGATCCTGCATATGCATATGCCGTCTACTCATCGAGCAAAAAGACAAAGGAGAGAATCTAATCGTTATGAAAAGGAAACCAAAAAGTGGCCTCTGATGGCGGACATATCCGGAAATGCGAATGCGCCAAATTTAAATTTTCCGACACTTATTAACAGTAACTATAAAATAGTTATCAGAATGTGTCTTAGACGAGAAAGTTTTAATTAAATATTAACGATAACAGTCTAAACTGTGAAACGATGGTTAAAAAACTTCAATATAAATAAGATTTCATGTGACAGTTGGGACAAATAATAACATAACCCAACTAAATTTGATTTCTTAAACAAGGAAAGACACTCTTTTCTTGTTTTTATAATATCCTGTGTCTATAGCACTTTCTTTTCGATAATGATTTTTATTATAGGTCCATCGCATGGACCTGATCAGGTCCAGGCTTCTTTTTCTGCTTTGTGTCTTGTACTTCTTCTCTTGTAAATTCAGTCACGGGTGTCTCCACGTGGATTGGCGTAAAGCACTTCTGCCTTGTTTTACTATTTATTTCGGTCTCAGGGTCCCAAAGATCGTTTTACAGACAACCCAAATATTTAAATTGCTTGATTTGTTTTATATAGAGCTATGTATATCATTGCATTTGAGTAATCTTCTTTAAGTGCCTTGTTCTCCAAAAAAATTGGCGAACCAGTCGCATGATTTTTACTTCATCCTCAGCAGACCTAAATAGCGTCTTGATACTGAGCCCATACCACTGGCGGAGGTTCTTAAACCAGGATGTTCTTCGTCGTTCAGGACCATACTTCCTTTCTATTTTTGAATAGAAGGAAACTGAATAATTACTGTAGCAATTTATATTTAGGACTATCCATCCACGATCTCCTCAACATTCGGCATACACCTCTAAAACCTCAATTCTTTTACACATTGTTCCAGTGAGAGTCCATGTTTTCATATAGTAGAATGCTGAATACATAACATAATAACCGCGTTTTAAGGGAATTCTTGGCGTTCTGTTAGTTCATAATTTTTACATCTTCAGATAGAAATATCTGTAATTGTATTTGGGTATAATATAATATAATCAAGGTTTTCGTCTTTTGTTGTTTATTGTTAAACCGAAAGATGAGACTTATTTCATTTAGAGAGATAGACAACAGCAATACTGCCATATTGCCTAAACAAAAAGAGACGTGTAACAAATATTTTGGCAGAATCAGGGATAGAGTTTTGTTACCGTTACTAAATATAAGTAAATATGTACCAACAATTTGTATATAATTCTATAAATATGTATATGTAAATAATGTAGGTATGTACAGTAATCAGCTGATGATGATACGAAAAATTAACAGAGTAAAGACAGTTTAAAAATTAAAGAGTAAAAACTAAAATTAGAAGCGTAAAAACAGTTTATGAAATTGATTAAAAACGAACAGCATTAAGAAAAAATGTTTTTCTTCTGAGGGATAGGGATGTAACGGGATTTAATTAAGCATCCAGAAATCAGATACAAGTAAACCAATTCAGTTTAAAAATTTAAAATCATTTTAATAATATTATTCATTGGTCAATGCGATTATGACATTGAAAATATCGGTGTAACTAGAACACGCGCTGACCTAGTGAAATTTTTAATGTAATTAAAAGCTTATTTAATAATGTGTACAAATTATATTAGAAAAACATGAATGCATAAATAAACGCACGTGAGTTAAATACCCGGAAAATAACGGGAGTAGATCATTAAGAATTAAGAGTTAACAGTCGAAGCTAGTTTTGTCATCCGTCAACCGGGTACCCTCTCTATTATTGTACTTAGAGAACCAATAGAGGAATTATGAGTATCCAGTGAGTTCGAGTTAATCAACCACATGCAGGGGGTAAACTACTCCTAGAGTTCCACTATATTAAACTCTTGATGGAAGCAATCTAATAAACATTATATGATTATCCAAAATTATTATATCTCAATCGATGGTATTAAAGAAGATTCGATGAAGTTTGGGGTCATAACATTTCGAACAGTAGATCTACTTAGCCCGGGGTATACGTCGTGGAAAAGTCATAGTAAAGGTCGATTCAGACACATCAGTCACGTCATCGTCACGGCACCGAACCGGTCCTGTTTGGTCACAGAACTATCAACTATCTGACAGCTGGCAAACTGTTTGTCAACTGATGAGTGTGAATGCCGGCGCCATATTTGTATAAAAGAATATTTTGTATGACGGATTGTTCGGTTCGGTGCCATCACTGTGACGAGACGTGACTGATGTGTCTGAATCGACCTTTAGTAAGTGATTTCGTATTTTTTATTTGCTTTAATTTATTGAAAATATCCATAAAATTTAAACTATTTATTAAATTATGAATAATTTAATCATTCAGAGTAACCGAGAACTACTAAAATAATATACGAAAAATAGAAAACGTTAATAAAAAAAAATAGGCAGTCATTTTGATATTCAATTAATCACGGAGTTGTGTGATTTGCATCAAATGAAGCAACTAAAATTTCGTTATTATCAATGTTATGCTGACTCCAAATTGAGTTTTTTTCACATTTAATAAAAAACCTTCGTATAGCAAGTTTAACCAAGTGGGAAAGCAATTAATTAATGATTTAATTAATTATTAATTGAATTAATGAATGTATATAATTTCAAATAATACTTATATAAAAAAACAACCAAAGTAAGCAATACGAAATAATAAAAAAAATTAATGAAGAAATAATTATAACTTAATTAACTAAAAAACAATATACAACGGAACTTAACGGAGAAGATATATAAAAATTAGAAGAAAAGCAATTAACAAAAGCTGTAGCTTTCAATGAAACTGTAGGACTTTCAATGAAAGTGTAGGAATTAGAAACCGATGAAATCTTTGTATTCAAAGTCTGACCTAAAAATAATAAGGTATCTATAATCTAAGTAATAAAAAATTGAATAGGTGTAAAATTAAATAAAGGAAAGATGGTCAAAAAAGCGTGTTTAATATAACTGCTCATCGAACAAGAAAAACTAGATTACCTCACTAAACTCCTAAACTAGATTACCAGAAATGTTGACTAGGCAATTAAAACCAATTACCTATTGGTATTAAGGATTGAATTAGATTTGTACCAGAATATTCGATATAAATTTAGATTTGATTTTTGTTCATTTCAGTCGGCAAAGGTAATTATGGTAATAGGTTTGATCTAATCAAAAATGTATTACTGATAGCCTATGTTCAGAACAAATATTAATACAGTTGCGGAGACAACTCACGGTTGTATAGTCACTTCTATTAATAAAATTGACATTGGCAGAAAAATCATATGATTACAAATACAAACGGTTTTTAATAAGTAGTAAATAAAATCGCTGCCATTTCAAACAAGAATACTGGTTGTTTTTAAATAAAAATGTTATCATCTATGGTAAAGGAGCATCAAGCAAAACAGGTATTAAAGAAAGAACTACAAGAAGCAAAAAGAAAAGAGGCATGTTCGGCTGCAAATGATTTAACACAGGCACTGGTAGACCATTTAAATGTTGGTGTAGCTCAAGCTTACCTAAATCAAAAAAAATTGGATGCGGAAGCTAAACAATTGCATATGAGTGCGACGAATTTCTCCAAACAGACTCAACAATGGTTAAACTTAGTTGAACATTTTAGTAGTGCTCTCAAAGAATTAGGTGATGTGGAAAATTGGGCAAAGGCCATTGAAGGGGATGTTCGTACTATTACAACTGCTTTAGAAATTGTCTATCAAGGCTCTCAAGAAAATAGTCAATAGTTTTACCTTGTAAATATATAGTTGTTATTCTGAGTTGATAAAGAAAGTGTATGATTCTGTTGTATATATAAATTAATTTAATGATATATATGTATTTTAAGCTACCTACCTGATCTGATGGTCCATATTCAAATATCAAGAAAATAAGCAGAGGCCACCCAGGTTGTAGACTCTGTATATGATGAATAAGTCCACTGAGGATCATACAGGTGAATCTCTAGCACAGTACCTAGTTTAGGCAGAACTTACTGTTCTGAAAGAAGGTTAGCCATCTCCTTTATTGTAGAGCCCTGAGCAAATAAAAGGTGTTAATAATAATAATAAAGGCCTTTATTCATCACATAATATTATTTACATAAATTAATATTCAAAAAGCTCCAGGCGAGTTTCAGTTCAGGAAATATACAGTGCGAAGCACTGACACATCCTGTCTGTTCAGCTAACCTGGGCAAACAAATAATAAGAAATATCTAGAACTGTAACCAATTAATAGTACTAATATTTATATAAAAACGAAATCAAAATGTAAATTAAATAAATTTTAGTTAACTAAATGTAGGAAAATATAAAAATAATTAATCTAGCATTCAATTAATATGAGCCCTAAATGTAAGTTCTACTCATAATTATTTACAATATCAAACCTTACCTATGCAATATGTCGTAATTTCTCAAAAACGAACTTTTTAAATTTGTTTTGAGTAAAATTAAGAGCAGTGGTATAATTATTCATAACTTGAGCTATATGATATGAAAAAGATCGCTTATAGTTCTGTGTACGATGATAAGGGATAGAAATGGTGTTTTTATGTCTAATGTTAATATTATGTACATCAATAAGGAATTTTATTTTATTATAGAGATATGGAAAGCTTATCTGCTGAAGTGCCGCATATTTGTATAATAGTTATTGGAAGATACATGCCAATTGGCTGTTTTATGACCAATGTAATGAACCAATGCAATTGGTTTCATTTAACAATTAAATGTTAATGAAATTGTGTCGACAAGTTTTTTGGCAAAATGTAGTAGCAAAGTTGCCGATGTTGGTTCTATTATTTAGGGACGCTGAATGTTTTAGAATTTGGCACATTTCAAGGATGGACCGCTTGTGATAATTTTGTTGTTTGCACAGTATTTTGGCATTCATGAAATTGTTACTGTGTTTGGTTAAAATAGCATGTTGTGCAAGGGCATAAGATGGTTTGGAAATCTTAATGTCGCTTTTGTGGGACGTTAGTTGACCTTGAAGAGATCTGCTGGTCTGGCCAATGTAGCAGGAGTTGCACTCTGCATAGGGTATAGAGGACATTAGTTTGTTCTAGATGGGCCAATGATGTTTTTGTCTTTGAAAATAACTTTAAAAGGTTCTGGTGTTGGTATTCAATTAAAGTTGGTGTTCAATTCAATCTGGTGTTTGTAATTAAATACAACCCCATAGTCCGATATCTTAAGAAACTTTTTCCGAATTATTAAAATTGATTTTTGACACCAATTATTTAATTTTCAATGACAAATATTATCGTCAAATTTTTGGAACTCCTACGGGATACACGATTTCCCCTATTCTAGTCAACTTTTTACTAGACGATCTCATTAATGAGAGTAACAAGAAGTTAGATTTCCAGGTTCCCTTTGTAAAATGGTATGTTGACGATCTGATTTTAGCAACCCCCTCCAGACAAGACAGTGAACACCTTATCAGTTTTTAACTGCTTTGATCCTCACATACAATTTACATGTGAAGTTGAGGTTGATAACAGTATCCCGTTTTAAGATATGCGAATTATTCGCACACCGGATAACAGATTAGTCACTACCTGTATATATACCTCAGATATAAACTTAACCTGGCCCTCAGCCTTAGAGTACACATGTTGACACACCGGCTTTACAAAGAAGAGTTTGTCAATCTACTGAAGTCCATTCTCATAGATAACTCCTATCCGGCATCCATCATCAATAAATTTCTATATTCCAAAAGCTATGGGCAGTCCATTACTGAAACACCCAACGGGCTAACATCAGCGTCCATTTCTAACAAAATACAGATGAATAAGTCCCCTCTCACTCCTGAACAAACAACAAAATATGCTTCGCTCCTGTACTTCCCACAAATCACTAATAATCTGAACATTTCAAAAACTTACCTCTGTTAAAATAGCCTTAAACACACCAGAACCTTAGGAAAGTTATTTTCAAAGACAAAAACTGCATTAGCCCCTTTAGAACAAATTAATGTCGTCTATCATGTACCCTGTGCAAAATGCAACTCCTGCTACATTGGCCAGACCAGCCGCTCTCTTCAAGGTCGACTTACGTGCCACAAAAGCGACATTCAGATTTCCAAACCATCGTGTGCCCTTGCATATCAAAATATTGTGCAAACAACAAAATTATCACAAGCGATCCATCCTTGAATGTGCCAAATTCTAAAACATCCAGCGTCCCTAAATAAAAGACAACTTGAGCCAGATATATCACTCGCTCTCATCATACATAATAAATAAAACCCCTTACAAGACATTAACATCATTCCTATTCTGCTTCCTCTTTTTTTTTAATATAAAAGAAAAAATGAATCCTTATTTCAAAAAAGGTCGGTCCCCTTTCCGTTCATCAATTCTCTCGATAATCGTATCTCCCTGCATTCCAAATAAACACATGGACGAGAACAAGCCACATGTGAAATTATGACATCCTACAACCGATAGAAAACAATCGACAAGATTAGTGTGGTTTGACCCAACATTCAAATGAAGCCATCAGTCAAAATTAAATGAACAGTAAGTAATGCTCTTTTACAGTTTTCTTGTGTTTTTTGTTTCTTTTTTCTCGATTAGTTGTTAATCTTTAATATTAAGTTATCGTAGAGTTTCTATAACATCAAAAAAACCTACAAATTGTTTTTGTAAGTATGAACCCTGTTCGTTGCTTACTTATATTCTACGGCCTTTTCTATTTGTAGTGAACTGATGATGCTTTTGAAAATAAAAGCAAAAGGTATTCAAATAAATCAATGAAGTAGTTGACGACTTTCATTTGCCAATTATTTACCGATAAAACCTCTGCTATTCAACCATTGAATATATTTTTAAAAATTATATGTACTTATATATAATGGAAACCATCAGGGTGTTCTAACTCTAATGCCATAAATTGGTTGCATTGCTCCTGTAGTGATCCTTTCCCAAGTTAATATGCTCCTTTTCTAACTTGGCTGCACCGTACTGAAGACGACCAATAGTCAGAAATACGTATATACGGTTGCCTTCTTCTTCTTCTGGATCTTTGATTTTGTTTCGAGATTTCTGTGCCTTTTCAATCGTAGACATGGAGAGGTCATTTTTTCTTAGAGCTGTTTTGACTTTTTGCATTTCTTCGTTCTTATGTTCCTTATCTGCCAGTTTCTCAGATCTTGTTATTAAGGTTTTTATTACCGAATTTAATTATGTAGGATGATGGTGTGAGTCTGCGTGTAAGTACCTGTCAGTATGGGTTGGTTTTCGGTATACTGTGTGTCCTACGCTTCCGTCTTCTTTCTTAATCACTAACACATCTAGGAATGAAAGTTGTTGGTTATTCTCCCGTTCCATGGTAAACTGTATTTTTGGATGGATATTATTAATGTGTTGTAGGAATTCATTAAGTTTCTCTTCTCCATGCGTCCAGATAATAAATGTGTCATCAACATACTTAAGCCACAGTTTGGGTTTATGCTCTGCTGTTTCTATTTCTTTTGATTCCATATCTTCCATAAAAAGGTTGGCTATTACGGGTGACAGTGGTGAACCGATGGGTGCCTCTTCAACTTGTTTGTACCTCTGGTCCTTGTAGATGAAATAGCTATTAGTTAAGCAGTGCCTCGCCAGGTTTAGTGTAACCTGTGGTATTGGATATTTTCTACGTATAATTTCTAATGATTCTTCTACTGGCACATTGGTGAATAATGAGACTACATCAAAGTTTTCTAATAGGTGTTCAGGTCCAGAATAACGTCCTTGGTACGGTGGACAAAGTGGCTTGCGTTCTTGACATAAGAATCCGCTTTCTCTGCATATGGTTGTAGCTGGTCAGCTAGAAATTTTGCCAGTGATTGTAACGGTGATCCGATAGAGCTGAATATTGGTCGTAATGGTAGCTATGCCTTATGTACTTTGGGTAAACCGTAAAGTTTTGGACATCTTGACGACTTTTCTCGTGGAATAAGCTGGAACTGCTGTTCTTTCTTGATGTTTGTCGCTTGTATTTTGGCTTTAGTTGTTTTCTCCAGATACGTTGTTGGGTCTGTTGCGATTTTTTTATATGCACTATCGTTTAGTATGTTCTTTATTTTTGTGTCGTAGTCTTCAATGTTCATTATGACAGTAGCGTTGTCCTTGTCAGCTGGAAGTACGATGATGTCTTTGTTTTATTGTATATTCTTCAAGGCTTTCTTTTCTTCGTAAGTTAAATTCTTTTTCGGAGGCTTGGCTGTTCTTAATATTTGTGCTACATATTGTCGAATAATCTCGGCTGTTTCTGATGGTAACTTAGTGATAGTTGTTTCCACTTCGCTAATGATGTTTTCGACGGGAATCCGTGTCGGTGCAATAGCAAAATTGAATCCTTTTTAAAGGACACTATTTGTAGCTTTATCCAAAGTAAGATTTGAGAAATTGTAGACTAAACTACTGGATTCTGTTGTTGGTAGTTCCTTATTCTTTGGTCGTTGTTGTAGTATCAATTTCTCAAACTTTTTGATTTATTTTTTCTATATATATATATATATATATATATATATATATATATATATATATATATATATATATATATGTATATAAATAAATATATATATATATATATATATATATATATATATATATATATATATATATATATATATATATATACATCGCATCGAACATAATAGGTAGGTACATTTATTATATGTTAATAAACATATATCTAAATTATTTAATAGTCTACTGACTTTAGAGTCGCCGTTAGAAATTCCTCCGACCTGCCATCATATGATTTTGTGGGACACTGTTCTGTGATGTGTCTGATGGTTTTGAGTTGTACGAACCACAAAGTAGGGATGGTGGTTTGCCCCATTTCCGCAT